AACATTATATACAATCCAATTAAAAACTATTTCCATATTGACTCCTACATTAATATACAAAATGCAATAATGGCTTAGTTGGGGGTATTTTTGGAATCTGAAAAGTACAATAAATCAAATTTTATGCTTAATTAGGTAACTTGCTGAGTTAGATCCTAGTCATGGGTTTTTACTTATACAAATTGGGTATTATTTATAAGAACAAAAAGTGAAGGGTTTTAGGTACAGCAAATTGAATTTGAATGGTGTAAGCCAAATTTACTATATTTTAAATTATACTTTGGTTGTGGTTTATTTTTATTTATGCTTTGGTTGTGGTATATTTTTAATTATGCTTTGGTTGTGATCATTTAACCAATCAGTGTTGCTAATTAAGAAAAGCAACACAACTAATTAAGAATTACTACTAATTAAATAAAAGACAAGAATTAGAACTACTTTAATACAAAACATTAAAATACAATTAAATAAAAGACAAGCATACTAACTTAATGGTTTTGATCATTTAACCAATCAGTGTTGCTAGGCCCATCGTCACAGAAAAGTCTACTTCTCATAACATTCATTCGTTCTAGGTTTCAAAATTGTTTTGTTTCAGGGGACATATGGCTCGTATCCATGGCCATGGTTTCCCGATCCTTCTTCTCAATGTCTTTTTTGCGTACATACTCCCTTTCTCTTGCATACTCTTCATTCATTGTCTTCTCGTCCGCATCTTTTTTCATGTCTAATTCAATTCTCATGGTGATGTTCCTTGCAATTTGCTCCAAATATTTTGCAGTATCATTGTTGGATGTACTCCATCTCTTGGCCTTCGCCGCCTTTCTCCAAATAGGCCTCAGCTCCTTTTGGATTGGTGAGTCTTGACTCATCGGAAAATCCAAAGGCGAATCCGATGACGTTGAATCATGAAGTGGCGTCTCGTTCAACACAACGATCAAACCCGTTGAAATAATTCTGAATCTCGAACAATTCTTCACCACCTCCCAACATTGGTCATGGTTGAAAGATTTTTTGCCTTACCCAATGGCACCAAACTATATTTGTGCTTGCATAATCTATTTTAAAAAATATTGGAAATGCAAGAAATATATAAGAAATATTGGAAATGCAATAAACATTATATATAAAAAATTAAGACATTCAAATTAATAAAACGGAAATTACAAATAATTTACCTCATTGCTAAGATTTTCCCCACTTCTATGGTTGTCCCTCGCTTTTGCCAATGCATCTCTCCATTTCCCCAACTCTTTATTCAAAATTTTCCACCTACTAGACAAGGCCATTTTTGTATGAGCCGAACCCAATCTTTCACAAAATTCGGCATGAATTTTTCTCCACATATGAGATAATTTTATCTCATTGCCCATGATCAGACAATGACTAATTTGGACTCAACACTCACAGAGCAGAACATCTTCCATGGTGCTCCACGCCCCTCCGATTTCGATGAAAGATGTCATAAGATGATGAATAAAAATGAAATTTGAAAGCAAATAAAATGTTGAGTAGAAAATGAATAATAGTAGAAGGAGAAGAAAATGTATGAGAATTTGGTGTTGAAAGTGAAAAATATTTGTAAGTATTTATAGAAAAAAAAAATAGAATTTTTTGGTTTTTTTTTAAATATTTTTTTCATATTTTGATTGCAAAAAAAAAGGGCAACCATTGGATTGGAAGAGAAAAACTGATCGGAGTGCCCAGAGGCCACCACGTGGCTTCTAGCCGTTGGCGGAAAGGAAGGGCTGACACGATGGAATTTAAATTTTTTATACCGTTGGAGCATGAAATGCACGCGCCAACGATAAAAAAAAAATTAAATCCGCACACTGATGTCAGGCTGGCGTCTCAACTCGCCTTCAGGCTGGAGCACGAGCTCGTTTTTCCTTCAAGCCAACCCGGTTTCGTGGGACCCACAAGCTACCTGGGTAGATTCGGCCATGTGGAAGTGCGTTTTAGGGCTTGGGGTCCCCCTGCCCTGGCACGGGCTCTCCGTTGGAATCGCTCTTAGAGCACATCCACCTCAAAGGGCAAGGGTAAGGCAAGGTTTGTCACTATTCACGTGAATAGTAGCAGCCTTGCCTTTTTTGTTTCCACCCCAAAGGACAAAGACAAGGGCAATTACTGTTCACTTTAATTTATTTTCTATTTTTTATACTTAAACCATTAATTTTGATAAGATTTTTGGATACAATTTTCAGTTGCCATGTGTCACTATTTATTATAAAATTCTTATCTCAAATTTCAGATAAAATTTTTGGATAAGATTTTCGGTTGCCACGTGTCCATATTTATTATAAAATTCACATCTCACTCATCATACAATTGAAATACCTTCTCACTCATCACACAATTGAAATACTCTCGGTCCTTATAGTCCGACACAATCGAGTACAATGATGACTCAATTATTGGCGGAGGCAATTCCACCGTCTCATGACGCGGGGGAGTATTTTTCTTCGGAGGACGTAATAGTGCCATTATTTCCAATATGGAACTCACCACTTAAACCAATTGCGGGCATTGTTCACTTGAGGAGCCATGTGTAATGGTTTTCTTCTTTTTTGTTTTGCTTTGAATAATCTTTTAAAAAAATGAAATTGAAATGCAAGGAAAAAAAAAAAAAGACATTAAATTGAATAAAACGGCAATTATATATATTTTTTACCTTGTTGCCAAGATTTTGACCACTTCGAACGTTTGTCCACGACCCTTCGGCTTCGATGAAGAGGCCATTTGTATTTTTGCACAAATAAAATTTTGTAGTAGAAAATTTGGTGTGGAAAGTGAAAAATATTAGAAGGAAATGAATTTGTATTAAGATTTGGTGTGAAAAGTGAATAATATTGGTATGTATTTATAGAAAGAAAAAAAATCCAAAATTTTTTGATTTTTTTTTTACAATTTTTTTAGCCAAAAATTGGAGAGCCGTTGGATTGGATAAGATTTTTGGATCAGAGTCTCCAAGATAAGCCACGTGGCTTGCAGCCGTTGGTTTCTGGTAGCTGTGGGTCAGCGCTAATGTCACGCTGACGTCAGCAGCTGATTTTCAAAAAAAATTTAATGTTGTCGTGTGTTTTTTTTTTTTTTTTTTAAATCAACCGCTGACGTCAACAGCCCAGTCGATTCTTGCCCAGACTAGACCTTGCACTGTGAAGGGTGGTTTGGGGCCTAGGGCTGCCATTTGCCCAGGATTGGGGCTTGCGCTGGAGCTGGAGGTGCTCTTAATGATGTGTGTAGAAGCGGTCCTAATTCTAAGCCCCATGCTGAATTTTTTTTATTCACAAGCGATATTAAGATAACAGAGTTTTTAATGCAAAACATGAATT